TTATTTAAAACATTTCTATGCCACCCCCATCGCAACAAAGCCTCGGGGCGGCTCACAACAGACATAAAAATACAATCAATAATTTAAAAACTGGTACCATCTCGGCTATATATTAAAATCTATCAATACAATAATAATAAATTAACAGTTAAAATAACTTTTAAATAAAAAGATTTTTGCCTGGCGCCGAAAAACAAATAATGATGGCACCAGGAGGACCTCTCTGGGGAACGCATTCCATAGGTGGGGCGCCACCGCAGAAAAGGCCCTCCTCCGGGTACTCACCCTCCTAATATCCTTCCCGGAGGGTTCCCGGAGAAGGGCATCCACTGCCGATCGTAGGGGGCGGGCGGGCATATATGGATGCAGACGTTCCTTTAGATAACCAGGTCCCAAGCTGTTAAGGGCTTTATAGGTCATAACCAACACCTTGAATTGGGCCCGGACTTCAATAGGGAGCCAGTGAAGCTGACGGAGAACTAGGGTTATATGAGAACAACGCCCAGTCCCCGTCAGCAACCTGGCAGCTCTATTTTGCACCAACTGAAGTATCCGGGCCGTCTTCAAGGGCAGCCCCACATAGAGCGCATTACAGAAGTCAAGTTGGGAAGTCACCAATGCGTGTGTCACTGTCACCAGGCAGTCGTTCTCCAGATAGGGACGCAGCTGATGGATCAGCCGGAGCTGAAGGAAGGCGCTCCTCACCACCGCCGTCACCTGAGCTTCTAACGACAGCTCAGGGTTGAGGAGCACTCCCAAGCTGCGAACCCTGTCCCTCAGAGGGAGTGCAACCCCATTTAGGACAAGGGCCAAGTCCCCCACCCTGAAGCCCAAACCACCCACCAACAGGACCTCCATCTTGTCTGGATTGAGCTTCAGTTTATTGGCCCTCATCCAGCCCATTACCTCGTCCAGGCACCGGTTCAGCACAGCCACTGCCTCACCTGGACTGGTGGAGAATGAGAGGTAGAGCTGGGTATCATCAGCGTACTGATGACTCCGCAGTCCACACCTCCTGATGACCTCTCCCAGCGGTTTCATGTAGATGTTAAATAGCAAGGGGGACAAAATGGACCCCTGCGGAACTCCATGGCATAACTGCCATGGTGCAGAGCCATAGTCCCCCAGCACCACCTTCTGGAATTGGCCATTGAGATAGGAGCGGAACCACTGCAAAGCAGTGCCTCCAACTCCCAATCCCGCTAGCCTATCCAGAAGGATACCATGGTCGATGGTACTGAAAGCCGCTGAGAAGTCCAGAAGAACCAACAGGGACGCACTCCCCCTGTCTTTCTTCCTGCACAGGTCATTGTACAGGGCGACCAAGGCAGATTCAGTACCGTACCCGGGTCTGAAGCCAGACTGAAATGGGTCCAGATAATCAGTTTCATCCAAGAGTGCCTGGATTTGTCCTGCCACCACCTGCTCTAGCACCTTGCCCAGGAACGGAATGTTGGCCACCAGTCTATAATTGGCGACCACCCCTGGATCCAGGGATGCCTTCTTTAGGACTGGCCGGACTACCACCTCCTTTAAAGGGGCAGGTACCCGCCTGTCTCTGTAAGAGGCGTTGACCACCTCCAGGATCCAGGTCACAATCCCGTCCTTGGCATTCTTAAGTAGCCAAGATGGGCAAGGGTCTAGTAAACAGGTGGTAGGACATACTTGTCCAAGCACCTTGTCCACATCATCAGGCTGCAGCAACTGAAATTCATACAACAATTGAGGACTCGACAGCGTCATTGGCACCTCCCCAATAGAATCTGATTCAATAGTAGAGTCCAGCTCGTGACGAATCTGAGTGATTTTCTCCCTAAAATGCTTGGCAAAGTTGTCACAGCGGGCCTTCGAGGGTGGCACCAGATCTTTCTTTGGGCCCTGATTTACCAGCCCCTGCACCACCCGAAAGAGCTCTGCCGGACGGCATTGTGAGGAGGCAATGGAAGCGGAGAAGAATTTCTTCTTCGCTGCCCTCACCGCCACAGCATAGGCCCGATAGTGGGCTCTTAAGTGTGTTCGGTCAGATTCATCCCGTGATCTCCTCCACCTACTCTCTAGACGTCTCCCAACCCACTTCATTGCCCATAATTCAGGAGTGTACCAAGGAGATGAACGGGCTCTGCCAGGTGGGAGAAGACGCTTAGGAGCGATCGTGTCAATAGCCTGGCCATCTCCCCATTCCATAGTTCAACCAAGGCATCGACAGGAGCACCAGCCTTATCAACCAGAAAATCCCCCAGAGCCTTCAGGAATCCATCAGGATCCATCCAACTCTGGGGACAGACCAGCACAATCAGGTCTGCACCCTTACAGAGGGAAAGGCCGCTCTCGAGCTCAAACCTCACGAGGAAGTGATCTGACCATGACAAGGGCGTCAAACATAAGTTCCTCACACTCAGATCACCCTCTTCCTGCCCCGTCGAGAAAACCAGGTCCAGAGTATGTCCACGTTCATGGGTCGGGTCACTGATGTGTTAAGACAGCCCCATGGCCGTCATGGAGGCCATGAAGTCCTGAGCTGCCCCGGTCAGAACCGTCTAGGCATGGAGGTTGAAGTCCCCCAGGACCAACATCCTGGGAGTCCTCAACACCAGGTCCGAGACAATCTCCGTCAGCTCAGGCAGGGAGTCTGTTGGGCAGAAGGGTGCATGGTACACCAACAGAATCCCCAGTCTGTCTCGGTCTCCCAATACCAAGTGGAGGCACTCTAAACCCGGCCTCGAGAGGACAGGAAGCCCCGAGAGGGAAATAGAAGTAAGCAATGTTGTGGTCCTGTTGTTGAAAAGAAGTATAGAAAATTAATACCATGGGATTATTCCATATATACATGCCAATTTATGATTTGAGGCATAGTAGCTAAAGCCCAAGTCAAAATAGGGTCCTTCAGAATGTTTCTGGTGTATCCCAAGGTGAAGTGGACTTTCCTCTAAAGCAAACAGAACTAGAAGCCATGGGCAACTTGTTGACCACTGTCTGAACAGAATGCTGCACTAGATGGACCCTTAATCTGATCCACCATGGCATTTATGATCTCAAGCAAAACAAAGGGTAATCAGAGCCATATTATACTTGTTAATATAACTAATTCAGTAATCTTAAAAAAATCTGGCACCTTAAGACCAGCATTAAGACTGCCTCATGATGGTTCAAGCTTCACAAAACCAGGAAATTGGAAGCCAAGGTTGATGCCTGAAAAGGCATGCCCCATAATCAGTGAGTGTGTTGTACAGTCATTAACAGAGGAGATGTGTATAAATAAATCAGTATATCCTTGTATGTTCAGAATAGTTGATATCTGAGTAAGCTGGCAGGATTCTAGCACGACTGTTTTCCTTTCTCTCTCTCTCCAACAATTATTTGTCATACAAAATGTTTCCTTCAGCTATCCAAGTTACCTGACTTTTGCTTTCCCACCATTCCTACCCGAATGCTGACATAACATCCAAATCCCTCAGAGTACACTGAAACCACTTGCGTACTGACAGCAGTGTTCTAGCATCAGCATGAAAGCAAGAATACTTCATGGAACTTTGCTGGCAGCTGTCGCCATAGGATTTCATGAGGCTAAAAAAATTTGATCATTTTAAAACTGCCAGTCAGAATACCATCAGAGCAGAGCATCTCAACAAGCCAAAATAAACATATAGTTTCCTCCAGAATTTGAAAACAACACAATTACACTAAGTCATAATTTGAGTAAAAGGGTACAAATGCATGAATTTTAGCACTGTATTTGTGCTGTATTTGTGGCAATGGGCATCAGATTAGCTCAAATTTCTCTGTGATGGCAAACCTCCTCAGGTATATTACAGATGTCAAATTGCAGATTACTAGCTCTATGGGTGCCATTTCTATAAGCAAAGAAGATTTCTGAAGCTTCTAATGGCAGAATCTTTTATTTTTGTTATTTACCTAACCAAAGGTTCATGCCTCTGTCCCTTTAAAAATAAATAAAACAAAACTCTAAGGACTGCTTCAAGCTTTTCTTTTCCTTCAGTGTAGAAAGTAAAACTCCAAACAGACAATTTGGGGTTTTATGTCTTTTACTTACAGAAGTGTTTTACTTGCAAGCAAATTAGCAACACCTGAAGCAGCCCTAAGAATTTCAATAATGTTATACATCAAAAGACTGGTATATTTAATAAACTGGTTTGTCAGGCAGTAGGCAGAAGCAAAGACAATGAATCTGTAATGCCATGTATCAAAGAGTTCTTTTCCAGTAGAAACAATGATTAGCAGACAATCCTCAAAGTAGAGTCCTTTCATTAAGGTTTGTCAACATTATCTCAAATCATGCAGAATTTTACTAGAGATCATAGTACTGTTATCTTATAATCTGTTTCAAGCAAACCAAGAAAGTAGATGTTTCTTTGAACTACTGAAGTCCATACTGGCATATGAACGCAAAAAAGTATTCCATTGTGTGAACTCCTAGGAAGGAGCCAAGAACAATCCTGACTCTCTTATATATGCAATCATACTATACACAAATTTTTATTTATGTATGATATATTTATTTAAACATAAATCCACTATAGTTTATGAATATAAATTACATATAAACATAAACATGGAAAACACACTGGTGCCACGGAAAGTGATTATGTCGTTTTGTTGCATAGTATTTACTATTATGTAGTCATGTTGGATAGTATTAACTATTAGAAGCCAACAGTACAACCTTATTTAATCATTCTAGATGGATCAACTGAGAGCCAGTGTGTTGTAGTGGTTAAGAGTACTGCACTAGGATATCAGGAGATCTAGATTATAGTCCCCGTTCAGCCATGAAGCTCACTGAGGGACTCTGGGCCATCACAGACTCTCAGCCTAGCCTACCTCACAGAGTTGTTGTGAGGATAAAATGGAGGGGAGGTGACTCTTGTAAGCCACCTTTGACTCTTGAAAGAAGTAAAAGTGATGTCATCATCATCATCTTTTTCTTCAGGTCACGATCAAGATGGAAGTCTAATTATTTAAAATAAAGCATTTTAACTAACCTGATGAAGTTCATTATCCAATACATATTCCTGGAAATAACCTGGAGCTGCAGATGATGCTCTGATAGCCTGCCATAATTTATACTGGCAACTTCCAAGATAGTGAGACTTGACTCCAGGAAAGTGATTGTAATTCCGAAATACAAAGGCTTTCAGTGGGGTCCCTCTGGTTACAATGGTGCTTACTGCAGCCACCTAACAAAAGAGGAAGCAAAACATTGAAATTTATCAGACAGCAGCATTTTCTACAATTTCAGTTCTTAGAAATGCCTTTCACTTTGGTAAGCTATATTTAGTATTTCATTCAACTGAAAAAAGTATCTAACACAAAAACATGTTTATACACAATTAAGGGATTTCAGGGAATAATACAAACCACCTCAATTGAAGTATTGCTGTTTTTAATATACAAAGATTGGGTTTACACAACATGACCACTCATCATGGATAACTGGCTGTGATGGGTTGACACATTGTCCAAATCTGGACTGCTTCCCAGAGAGTGGCTTATTTTGGGGCACAAATCACCTTGACAGCCCATGGCTTGTTCTAGGGGCTAATGCACCCACCTATATTGTCTTGTCACCTGAAAGCAGCAGACTGATCCCATTGAAGGAAATGGCCAGCAAACCACTCAACAAGAGCAGCAAACAACCCTTGTTACTCGTGGCAATCTCACCTGTGCCACCACTAGTGACAGCCCCTTCACCAATGCCCAACTATCACTTTGGAGAGACTGTCACCGGTTCACCACCTTTGTTGAAATTACTTTGGCACCAGAGAAATGTACACAAATTTTGTGGGTTTTTAAAAGAAATTTTTGTGTTTGCACAAATGTGCTGTTTCATTCTTTTTGATAAATGCTGACTTGCCTGGTCTACTGCCACGCCAATTACATTTGTCAAACAACAACAAAGGAGTTGATGCTGTACATAGACTACATTGCAAATGGTTAATAAGTTCCCTGCTATCAACTGGAACACACCAACAATAGGAAAAATGCAAATATGAGTGCACCAAAAGATGAGCGCTCTAGATCCCCTTGTTAGCAAGGCAATCCTCTGCGTTTTAAGTGCTGAACTGACACTTCACATTTCTCTCTACCTTTGGGACATTTCTTGAGCCTTCAGCTAGTTCAGAAAGTAAAATTCCTTTCTAACAATCCCTTTTCATAGCTCTCGTTTGAGGAACTTACTGTGGTTCTCTGATAACTTAAAAAAACCTGACAAGACAGCTGGATGGGATAGCATGATTGGGGTCTCATGGGGAGGAGTACACTATTAGCAACTTCTAAGGATTTTTTAGTTTCGTATCTGGGATATATTTGTGCATTCTTTGTACAGGGAAGTAAGCACTAACCTTCTAACTACTGCAGATCTACCAATTATTTTCTTCCTCTTGCAGTATCAAGCTTATTAAAATTCCCATCCCATATAGAAGGATTTTGTTTATCTTTGTAGCTGAACTAAAAGACTGAAAAACACATTTATTTGTATGTTGCCCTTAAACGAGCATGGCCAACAGGAAGCCATACAAAAACAAAAGTGCTTTAAAAAGCTGCAAGTAGTATTTTGGGAGTTTACCCCTGAAGAGTTACCTATGAACATCAAATTCAATAAAATAAACGGTAGCTCCCATAAATGTTGGTGGCTGCTGTGGACTCGAGTTCAACGAAACTAGAAAACTAAAAAAGTACCAAACTGATTAAGTACTGGACTATTGAAATGAAGGAACTAAGCATTTAAGGGCTTTATTAAGAATAAGGAAAGCTGATATAAATATTTGGTAAGATAATTATCTAAATGCTTTGCAATATATTTTAAACAGAATAATAAAGTACAGTTACCTTGGGGCATCTGGGATTTCTGGCAGTTTCAATCATAATATTTAATCCCATTCTCTCTCTAGAAAAATAGGACAAATTGCTTAATTTTTTATTTTTAATATGCTGTGTCTCCTTGTTCTTTAGTATTCTTAAGAAATCCATCTCTCTAATAATGCAAATCAATATATAAACACATATTGTATTTATTGACAATCCAAAGCCCAGTTCAGCAGCTTATGTACACACATTCAGACAAAGCATCCCAACAACAAAGTCCAGCGTCCCTGAATTCTGCAAAATTTCTGCAACAAATGGTTAGAACAATAGGTGGATGATCAAAACTGAATCTGGTTTCTCAATTGTTTAAGTTCCATCTTGTTAAGCTTACTGATAATTATTATTGATAAATAACATTTCATGCCTTTAATAACCAACACTTTAACCAACACTGGAAAGCACTCCTATAAAGTGCTTGGCTCATTACACAATGTTGCTTTATCATTTCTGTTTACTTTGAGCAAAATGAAAAATAACAAGCACATTTAAAAATTTAATACTCTAGGGGAAAGGCACACATCATACATTGTAGCATTTTTTCCAAAGACAAAATAGCTCAGGTAGTTATTTGTTTTTCGGTGCCAGGTGAAGAACTTTTTATTTAAGCAGCATTTTAAATGTTAATATTATTGAATTTTATCTGGCCAGGGCGGCTTATTTTATATTGTATTTTTTTTATTCTAATGTATATATTTTAATTTTTATTTATCTAATGGATCTAATTTATTGTTGTAAGCCGCCCCAAGGCTTCGGCGAATGGGGCGGCATAAAAATGTTTTAATAAATAAATAAATAAATAAATTTGTAGCAACAACAAGTTACAATCAATAGCACTACAGAGCAGTTGGACTTATATTGTGAAAACAAACCTCTTCAACACAATTTATTTCATAGTGACAGAAAATGACAATAACATCTCTTAAATAGTTGGGCAGCCTAAACACAAGAGTTATTTGAAGAAATTTCTATTGTGTACTCACACATCAACTCTTAAATAGGTGCTGTCAAATATATTTGTAATTGCTGTCACTGGAACATAGTGTCATTTTGTGGAGCTGTGTTGGCATGCCTACATCAATACAGATCTTTAAAGCTAACACAGCATGGAACAAAGCTCTATCACAGCTCTACTTTATACTTTGATACATGCTAAACATGCTAAAGAAAGCAAAGTTGGCAAAGATTTAAATATCTGGATAAGAGTGACTTACTTAAGAATAGTCTCCCACATTTCACTATCATAAAATGCATGACTCCAGCCCATTTTAACTGTCCCAACAATGACATTTTGCTTGAACACATCAGTTCCTAATTTGCGATAAAGTTCTTCACACTCATCCAGAGGGATATGAAATAACCCCAACATAAATGCCAATATAGCACCTGAAAACAAAACAGTATTTATAAATTTGAAACAGAGCAAATTTGAAAATGTATGAATAGATAGCATTTATTTATAGCACCACCTAGTGTTCATGAACACATGACTGTGAAATAGTCAATGGTCTGCTGTACCCCAAAACTATTTTCAGAAATATGAGTAGTGCGGTAAGATGTGCAGGACCTACACCAGTGCTGTACCTGCCTTCTAAGCAGCAGCAGTATGCCCAATACAGCAAACTTCTTAAAAATGTCTACTTAAATGCAGCTAGTGTGTTCTGCGGGCCCTCCAGTTATGCACGTGTATCAAAGACTGGCTACCTATTAGCTAAGTAGAATTTGTCGTTCACTTTCAATGCTCTAAATAACTCAGAATGAGTACGCCAACCATGTTGTCTGCCACTCTATGCATCCAGTTGATTTTTAAGATTTCTGAGGAGGCCTTGTTGGACATTCCATGACAAACAGCATATTGCCATGTAACATCAATGTTTGTGTGTGTAGAGGAAGGCTCACCACAAATGGTATTGATTAAACCACAGAAGCACCACTTGACACACAGATGTTTTACCCTTACATGCAAAACATTCTTTGTACACATTCTTTTCAGGAATACGTACCTGTACTCACTCCGCAAATATAATCAAAAAGATGATGAATAGGCTTTCCAGTGAGCTCTTCTAGTTTACGAAGTGTCTGAAGTGCCACTAAACCCCTGCAACATATGAAAAACAAGTCATTTTAAAAAACCAAGTAAGTATTTTATTATTGTTTAAGCTACACTATATTACATTTATTTGTTTACAACATTTCGATACTGTCCTTTAACAAAGTTCATTCATGGTTCTCAAAAACTAATGCAAATAAAACCATAAAATCAAAAGCAATATAAAGTAGCACAGAAAAACAAAATTCAGAGCAGCCCCAAAATTAAACTGATGGGCAGAATACCACCTATGCAGTCAGACAACTGTTCTACCCTTGGAGCCTCCTTCCCTCACAGCTGGGTTCAAGGGGTTACAGGCAGACCCACTGGATAGCACTTTTAAAATTTTATACTTTAACTGCTGAAAGGAACTTCTATAGTGAGGATATATAGAACTTTTAGCACCATTTGCCTGTGATACCAGGGAAAATGTGGTAAATATAAAACCAAACACTACACTCTAAACAGGTTTGGTTTACCCTACAAATAATAGAAACTATGATTTCTAGGAAAGGAATCATTTCTTAAGATTGTATAGTCAATTTCTGTAATTAAGGACTGGAACAATCTCTCCCTTGTGTACTGAAGCCTTCCATGTGCTTCCAACCTCCTACAAGAAAAAACTGCATACTTCTAGCTATAGGCCATACAGTTTTTACAAATTTACTAGGCTCATGTTCAAAGCATAGAGGTTACAAAACTGTATCAGTTCTAAATGTTGAATACAGAAAGCCCAATAAAAAGATGCCTTGTGATTCAGTTATCACAATGATCCTGACAGCCTTATAATAGTACACAAGGCTGAGCATATACATTTTTTTTAAATGACAGTGCAATCCTGTGCAGGAGTGCTGCCTGACCTACAAATCAGATATTCTCAGTTAATACCTTCACCCTGCCATGAACTCACTAGTTACTCCCAGCCTGAGACCCAAACTGCAATTTGGGGCTGTACTGACCTACTTTACACTGCTCCTGCAGAATTACAAGATAATGGATGTGAAACACTTTGGACATTCTACATGAGCTCTATTTATTATTAGAGATCTAGATACTCTTTTCTCTCAAAGGGCAATAATCGATCCAAAGTGATCCAAATCCTTTTCTCCATCACATGAATTCTGGGCATAGGAAAGGAACTTTTGATTCCACCCAGGGAGTATTCAAGTAGCCAAGCAAGTCTGCATTTATTTATTTATTTAAAAATAACTGCAACAGTTGCAAGCAGTTGCACAATGGGTTGTTCAAGTATAATGCAAAACACGATGCACAACCACATTCATGCATATGTAACTAGATGGATTCTCTTCTTGCACATACTTCAAACCTAGATTTCACTACTGAAACATCCAGCAGAATAATGTAGCAGGATGCTGCTAAGGCGCAATGGTGGGGGGTTTTCTGTTTTGTTTTTTTTTGGTGCTACAAAAAAATTATTTTGCTCCTTCACAATGTGGAGTATCCTGTGTACATCTAGTGGTAACAATGCCAATTAAATCCATGTCTATTCCAGGTTGCAATACAGCCAAATGAGAAAAAGTCAAAGATGGGATAGGGTGGTATCACTACTTCTTCAAGTAACTGCACGCTCCATCACCAATGTGACTTGAAATTACATCACAGTGAAAATGAAGTAAGTAGAGCTTGTAGGTAGGCAAGTAAGTACTAAGGAAATCCTTTCCAGTCAATGATCTATTTTTACCCCCAGCCGATATTCTTGTCAATCTTCCATTTTTATAATAATGTGCTATTTATCATGGTTTGCATACACTCTAAACATTATGAACTATGTCTTAGAGTTGGTTCACATTTAACTATTAGTGTTGCATAAAAGTTTAGACTGTGGAATGAAGATTGAAAAAACCTAAGTTCAAATCTGCACTCAAAGATCAAAGCTTAGTTTGGGCCAGACATCAGCTGTCAATCTAACCTCTTCAACAAGGCCATTGGAAGGACCTTCAACAAGGAAGATAACTGCATATGCAAGTTTGCAAAATTTAGAAAATAACTGGAATAGAGAGATAATACTGATCTGTGATCCAGGATTAATGAGACCAGTGCTTCTTCCTGACTCTCTAAACTCTGTTTGCACCAGTTGTCTAAACCAGGATCATGATGCAGGATAATGCCAATTGAATATCATGTTTTTATGTGATACTCTGATGCTTTTCTAAAAGGAAAGATTCATATTACAGCCAAAAGGCATAAAATGCAAACATCCAGTAATATACTGCAAGATGCAGAATTCTATTTTTTAATCTCCAAGAGAGTTCTGTTTTTATTTTCCTTTACTTTGATTTTCAGAATGAGCTTCAATAAGCAGAGGATTACTTCTGCCAGCTATTAGGTAAAATGTTGTATTTGAACAGTGGGAAATTAATAAAATACTATAATAATCCCACCTCATCTCAACTTAGTTCTGCACATGAATTTAAAACTTTCTTGAACTTGTTACATCAATCTGGGAATCTGAAAATCTGGGCAGAAATACTTGAAAGAAAGAAAATACCTTGTTCCCCCACCATCAATCGTGAGTATTCGAATACCCCACCCTTTTACAGGGTCTGTATATCCAACTACAGCCAAAGCCGCCCGAGCAACAGCCTGCAGAGCTTCATCATTTGCCTGTCTTAGCCGCAACAAGCATGGAATGATTTTTTCCTATAAAACAAAATAATTTTAAATAGAAGGAAACAGTTTTATTTAGTTATTTTCAGTTTTAGTTCACAGGAAAACCTGTGAACCATTCAATACAAAATATTTTATATTGAAATAAAACTACTGCTGTTATGAAAACTCTTATACATACTACACTTGGATTCAGTCTGCATGTACCACTGACTATGCCAGAAATTGCTGTGGTTGTGTGACAGGTACCAAGCTTGCTCTTTTTCTTTCAATCAAGATATTACTAGTTTGTCATCTTGATGTCTGGACCCAGGAATTCTGGAGTGCAAACAATCTTGAGTTAACCCAACAATAAAGCATAGGTAATTTCTAGGTTAAATAACCCAGAAAATTTTCCTACCTGGGAACTGGCCAAAAATCCTAAGCACATTTTTCAAGAAACACATTGCAACAAAATCAGAGGGATTCACATCTAAGTAAACATGCTCAGGATCATGCTGTTAGAAATCTCTTACTTATTCAAAATACAAATATATTTATTCAAATTTCAGATCAATAAAGGAAAAGGTAAAATAATAAAAATGTAGTTGTTATATTGGTACATAATCAATTCAGACTCTGCTATCAGAATGAACTGAATTATTATCTCCAGATTGCCAGGATTTGAAGTCTTAACACAGCCCCTGATGGTGACAAGCAGCAAGATTCACTTTGCAACTACCTGCAGGAACAGGAGTACACCTGTGGGTGCATACAAGGACTTCCACTGTTGCACATATCCCATCAGCCACTGTGCCTGAAATTCAATCCCAAGGTGCATCATTTCCTGCCTGTGTCACCTGCCTCCTTCTCAATGGGCCACACAAACAGGCTAAAAGTCTGGAGCAGTTTCTACAGTTTCTACTCTTTCCAGAAAACTGTTGCAAGAAGTATAAAAGAGAGGTAGGGTGCATAAAGAAAGTTAAGATGTTGGTTGGAGAAGATGCAGGCACTATTGCAAACAGGAAGACCTGTTATGCTGAGGCTACATTTGGAAGGAAGATCCTCCTCTTAAACAGGTCTTCTCTCAGGGCTCCTAGGTGGTGCTCATCATCAGGGCCTGAGACTGATCCTGCAAATACTGAGGTAGGCATCTGGTTCTGACCATCAGGTAAAGCCTCCAAGCAGCCCAGATCCTGACACCACAGTAAGCATGCAGCATAGCTTGTTGTGACGTGTGAACACAGCCAGTAAGCAACCCTTGCTTGTTCCTGGCTCTGCACTGCTGGCTATCGGATCCTGACTTATTTCTAATTCTGCCTTTGCTTCCAGTCCTGCTATGCCCTGATGGCATCCGATCTTCTGTTGTTTCTGACTTCACCTTTGCCTCTAGCCCTACAATATCATTCCAAGAATCTCCATCCACTCACAATTACCTCTGGGTTCTGGTGTTCTAGCCATAAGATACCTACTACCTATGTCCCAGACCTGACCCAGATACTTTTCTACATATCATAGTCCTGTGTTCTTGGAATATAATGTAACACTACAGGATCGGCAGCAGGTATGTTTACTGGTGAGGAACATATCTTAGTCTGAGGCTGCATTTCCTTTAGGGTAATTATTTGAGGGCTACATACTGAAAATGTGTGAGACTGAAAATATGTGAGACCACAGTGAAAACAGGTTGAGAACACCTCCACCACTTCCTTCACTACTTACCCAGTGAACTACCAAGCATTTGACTCTCAGTTTGCTATTGGCCACAGGTAGAAAGCCACAGATTATCCATCCCTGCTTTAGTGGATATAAACCACTGATCCCAGTGGATTCATGGCTTAATATCATGGCTTAACATCAAGTAGTATGCGTGGTTAGCTTCTAGATATACTGCTATGGCATATAGTGTGCTATTTCCAATAAATTCGTGGACAAGTATTTACACAATTGTGATTCTGTTCCTTATTCACATTCAGGTGATCAAACTGATTCGTACCTTAACTGCAACTCCTCTGCTGTCTGGAAATTCCAAGAGATGATACATCAATTCCTCAACCCTGTTGATACAGACTCTTCTGTTAGATGATCTTCGTAATGCTTGAACTAATGCCCGGGTTCTGTTATCTATACTCACCTTTGCAATAATCTAAGAAAACAGATATTTTAATTAAATATTTCATGAATATCAAGGGGGCTTGCAAAGGAACAAATTTACTTTGATGCAAGCTTTTCATGGACTAACTTTTCATGAAAAAGCCCACACATACACTGTCATCTTCTCTGTATGAGCAGCATATAAGCAGCTAGCCAGTTAGACAACTAAGCTGAGAATATGATAACGTTCCAGCTCATAAAGCTTTTGCCATGCTACACATGTTTATTCAGAAGTCTGTATTATTGTCCTCAGGTAACTGAATATAGGATTTCAGCTTTAATCTTTAAGGGACCAGACTTCCTGCCTCTACCAAATAAGGCTATAGCACTGAGCATGCATTCCTGCAGGTTGCATCCTCATAAGACAGGGAATACCTGGCTACTTCCATGTATCCAATGCTCTTACAGGGTGCTGCCACTATGGTGGGAGGAATAACAAGCACCTCCCTGTTCTCCTTTTGTGTACACTTTCCTTTATATGGGCTCAAGCCCCTCTAGAGTCATCACACTGCCAGCAGCAAGACGGAGGCTGAAGAGGTTATAAGATTTCTCATATCCTGGCATCTCCTCTCCCACCACCCTACTGTAGCACCAACTTTCAGATTTCTCCAAAGCTGCTCTTAGAACTTCAGAATACTGAAAACTCAGATCTTTTTGTGGCAGCTGTGAGGGAGTAGAGAGAAGAATTTGATTCTGGAGTCGTCTTTATCTGGATGGGGACCTCGAAGAACCTTTTGGTTTATGGGATGCTCCCCAGGGACCATAGGATTGTTCTTCCAATTTCATGGAAATGTCATGCATTTCTGAATCAAACAGCTAGTTACATAAGCCATTTTTCTTAGACCAAGCCTATAAAGAGCTACTTGTTGACTATGATGAATTGTCTCTAGGTTTATCAGGGAAGGGCGCTAACAGAGGTGATATAATAAATACATTTACACACTAGTAACTTTTATGGTAGAAGACAAAGGTAGAAAAGCATGATAATGGGCCACATACCTTTCTGCCCAACAAAGGAAATATCTGAGAGTACAGAAAACTCTTTTCTCCTTCCTGCCACCTGAAAATATGTTCTGGAGGGTTTGTTTCAGGTCTCCAGAGAAAATTGAGGGAATATGCTGGGGCTGGGGGAGAAAAGAGGAATTGCCCCTGCTGGTTTCACTGTTTCCATCAGTGAAAGATAACATTGTATCTGAGCCATTATATTCATATAGAACTTTTTAGCATTTACTATCTAAGTATATGCATACTACATGTGTTTGTGTCCAAATTTCACACATTATCCTACTATATTGTACAACATCCCTGAAGGTCAACATTATTCAGATTTTTAATCAGCCCTTCATCTGTAGTTACTGAAGAGTGCCTTTGGGTTAGCAGAACTACTTTTATAAGTTAAATGGTACTAGATCATCTCCAGCTCCCATTCTATTGATGTGCCACAGTTGACGTGTGTTAGGCATACAACACCTTTTGCAGAATTAATTGAAAAGATACACCAAACTTAGAAAACCACTTCATGAAAACTATCTTCTATTTTTACTACAAGATCTCACAGTAAGTCAAAAATATGTACCTCTCCCTAAGTATTGCCATACAGCTGTGCCTGAACTTTTGCAATGTTGAGTAGTTTGAATGCTGGTAACTATAAAACATGCGTCCTCAAACTACAGCCCGTGGGCTGGATCTGGCCTGGCATGCCCATTTATCTGGCCTGCCATATCTTGCCGCGGGCGCACTGTGGTGAGGCACCGGCTTGCTCACAAGGAGATTGTTTTCGACTCGCTCGAAGAAAAATATCTCCTTGCGAGCAAGTTGGCACCTTGCCCTGCACATGGTGAGGCACTGGCTTGCTTGCAAGGAGATCGTTTTGGACTCGCACAGAGAAAAAGATCTCTGTGCATGCCCATCCCTGCCTGTGCCCCCCGCCCGCACTGCCTTGGCGGCCCGCGCCCATCGCCAGTACCTTTCAACTAGCCCCCTGTTCAAAAAGTTTGAGGACTCCTGCTATAAAATCATGGCTGGAACTCCACCTTAAAGTTACTGGGGGAGGGAGTTCACTTTACTTCTGTTAGATGCAACCTTGTTCATCTGTTACCTGCCTCCTAAGGAAGTAGTAACAACATGTGGCTTTATCTTTGCATTTTTTTTCTTCACTACTACCCCATTTTTCCACCAACCAGCCTGACAGCTAGAGAACTTTAAAGTTTGTACATTATTTTGTGACATTTTTGTTTGATCCTAACAAAGGTGTTACCCAACTATGTAACTGGACTGTTTTTCTCTCATGGGCAAACATGGCTTTCTTTGATCTCTTCCTCCAAATGAAGCAACTTTATAAAATGATTGGTAAAAAAGACTTGCCTTTTCCCTTTGAAGAGATAATCTTTTTTCTTTCTCTTCTGCACGCTTAGTCTCCTTGTCATCTTTTGACATCTCCTCATGTTCTTGTACTTTACTTTTTTCTTGCAAGGTAGCTTTTGCATCAGATCGTAACTTGGGCACCAGGCCACCAATGTAACTATCCACAAAGGCTTGTACACTGTTACTAGGATAAGAAAGAAAACTTGCAATGCTCTTTTTGCTAGGAGCTGGAGGACTAGCACTGGCTTTTTCAGCATCTGGAGACTGTGCTGCAGGTATTAGAGCAGATACTGCATTCATTCTGTTTTCATCACTTAATATATCATCTTCTGATGAATCTAGTGTTTCTTCTCCTTGATTTGGTGGCTTAGGTGGCAAAGCATTCTTCTTCTTCTCTTGATCCATTCCACCAGTGTTAAAGTACCAGTTAATGTGATTGGCTAGAAAGCTGTAGGTTTCCCCAAAGTTTGTAGCAAAATAACTAACATGAAAAAGACTGTTCTTAATATCTGTAAGATCTTTCAAAGAGCCTTGGCTAATGCCACTGGGATTCAGGGATCCACCAACAGAAACTGATTTCTTGTCATCTAAACTATCATCAAAGTCTTCGTAACTTCTGCTGTTTGTGGCTTGTCCATCATTTTCTTGGTTTATAAGTAAAGTATTTTCCTTCCCATCATTTTCAACTGATTTAGTCAATATACTAGAATGTGGCCTTAGCCGAGCTATCCGTGAAACCAGTTCACTATGAGTACCAGATACAACCTTTGATACAGATTCTAGGGTGTTCTTAAATCGTGACATGCGACTGCTTGTTTTTGTCAATTCCTTAGAAGTGCTAAGTTTAGAAACTTTGTAAAGGAAAAAGTCACGACAATAGAGGTACCACAAAGTTTTGTTCCTGGTCCATTTACAATAAGGCTTACTTGTGTGTAATACTCTAAGAGGAAAAGCATGACTTATCCTCCAAAAAAGTTTAGGTCTGCATAAATAATACAGTTGCTTGGTCCTCTGCTTACCCCAAAGACTTTTTGTACTAATTACTAAATAGACACATGCATCTAAATGCAACTGAACTAACATTACTGGTAATTACGAGGGTTGTCCATAAATTATTTCCCTCCAGGATCTTTATTTTAAAAAGAAATATCACTCTTCATGAAATTATCTGAAACAGGAAAAAATAATAAGCGTTAGTTTGACTAAAGCATGTTTAACATATACACAAATAATCCTCCTGTCCACCTAAAAAAAGTCTATACTTGTTCTTTGTCTAGAATGGGGTAGCAAATAGTGGTCTACCACTCCCATTATCACTCACCAGTGGCTTGAAACAGAGGAAGTATTAATTAGATTTTTCAGAATACACAGAGATAGACACTTAGTCTCTAGGGAAGAAAATCTCTTTCTTAAACATGTTGGGCTTACTGGGGCAGCTGAGAATATTTTCTTTCCTGTTTTTTGACAAACCATCTGGAACATCACAATTTGCCCAACTCTGTCTACAACATAACCCATCGATGTTTTGACATCCTAAGAAGTCACTTCTTAAAAGTCTGTCAATGAGAAAAAGTTAAGCAGAATTCAGTACAAATTAATATCAGAGGAGCCTGCATAGGAAAATTTAAGTTTTTCAAGTCCAGTGTCAGATACCAAAGTAAAATACACCACATCCCCACATATTAAGCTATAGACTAGAGCAGCACCCTTTTGCCAAAAGCAGAAAAGATTAAGAACAGGGGTGAATCTAATTAGTTACACCCAAATTACTCAATAGAAGGCTAAAGAGTATTAGCAATATTAAGAACTCCGATGCTTCTGAACTCACCAACCACTCCTCTAAAAGTCAAGCACTTGCTCTTAATAACTTTTTATTACATTTTGGCAATGATAATCTCCATTATTCCATATTCAGTACTGTAATCAGCAATGTCTCTAGAAAAAAATGCTTCAGAGGAAGGAAATAATCTGTACAGTAAACAATTAAAAATGCAAGTGTATGTCCCAGTGACCATTATAGCATTTCACATTTTGGGTTGTCCATGCATTTTAGCAATAGAAAAGATGTGTACCTAATCAAATTATTTTATTGTTCATTGAGATACAAACTATTCTATAAAAAAGAAGTCAAGTTGCTGACAATAGGGCACATAAGAATTTGTTGCCCTTATCTTTGTGCCATTCTCTTGTAACTAAAATTAATGCTTCCAAGGCACCACACATAACATACAAAAAGAATGCTTGCATTTAGGAGGTGTATTTTCTAGGCAATGGGTTTGTTTAGACATTGGCTTCAGTGAGTCATGCATAGCTAGATGTTATGTTCAATGCCACTCTGAGAGAATGACAAGTATTACATACGTTTTCAAAACACACAACTAAACCAAAAAAGTACAAAAACATCCCATAACAGAATGTGTCTTTATCATGCTATTGTTTTAGTTGAACACTGCATACTTAGGCCCATTGACATCTGTTAAAGTTTATATTATGTACATAAGGATGGTTTCATAAAACACACTGAATAGTCATGCTTATAACAATCATTGAGACATGTACCATCTATTTTCATATGAAACAGCATCCAATCCTGGATATCCAGAAGGAAACATCTTGAAAGCAAATGTTTCAGGGAAAACACACTTTCAATACACACACAACAGGAACAACAGCTGCAAAATCAACACAGTGGAAGTGCCGAAACTGAGAGTAGGAGAAAACGTCGATGGAAAGTGTCGCTTGGCCAATTATCGGTAATCCTTCTTAATATAAAACAGAATAATAGACAAAGAAAGACACCAGGCCCAGGAGTATGAGTAATTCTGTGGAAGACAATGGAGCTGGACCATAGTGGGAAACCACACCTTTGACGGGGCGTTATCCCCCCAAAAGCCAACTGTATGTCTAGGTCAAGCGGTCTAGGTCAATCAAGGTAAGGAAAAGACCACTCGCGCGGTCCCAGAATAAACTTTCCCACTGAAAGCAGACTCCAGAAATTACTCTTGGCTCAAATGGGTAATACGAGGGAGAAAGCGATAGAGGGAGACCCAAACTACGTAAGGCGCAACAATCCTGTAACCAAGGAAAACAATGACTTTACACCTAACAGGCCGTACACACTACGACCGCTCTGGACAAGTAAGCGACACAAGAACTCAGTGGGAAGCCGGAGCTACCACTTACCCCAAACAAGGCAGCCCCAAAGCTAACGTCTTAAACCCGTGGCTGACTGCCACAACGTTCAGCCTACAACCCCGAGCGTCACTCTCACCGGCCATTTTCTTTCGAGTATGCGCAGACGAGTGTGAACCACGCATGCGCACTGAGAAACTACTAAAGACCTATTCAGACACTCTAGCCTCTAAACTACAGTACCTCCCCACGGGTTGAGTTAAAGCGCATGCGTGCTCTCTGGAACGCTCCACTTAGCTCCGGGGTAGGGGCGGGGTGGACAAGAAAGGCAGCCTCTTCTAAGCTTCTCAAGCTATTCGAATGTATCTTAAAGGGATGCAGAGAAACAAATTAATTAGGGAACGCATAGCCTTGGCCAAGAAGGGAGTTTCCGGGTTCGTGTTGGTCACGCCGTTTGCACCCACCTTCTTTCCTGGGGGTGGGAGCTGAAGTGAGAGCGAGCTGAAGAAATCAATGCAGGAACGTGAGGTGGTAATTTCGCTGGGATATCCCCAGAGTGTTTGCATTTAGGCACCAAAGACAGTGGTAAAGAAACGAGCCGATGATCTTTTTAAAACCCAGGACTAATTTTGTGTGTTTTTAGCGGGATGGCAGGGAGGGCTTTTAAAACATTTGAAAAACAGCCTGGCCTATGAAAAGTCCAGTGCATGTCTTTCTTTATTCCCATATATTGGAGTTAGTCGTGCGACGTTTTCCACAGGCTAATATCTATCTATTTAAAACTTTTGTGCCCCATCCACCACTGGCATCTCGGGATGGCTTGCAATAAGAATAAAATAACACAACAAACGCTACATCCAACAATCAAGATAATGAAGATTAAAAACCCCAGTTAAAAACCAATTAAATATTAAAATAATGGGGAAATACAAAGGGTTTTACCTGATGCAGAAAAGAAGTATCGGGGTCAAGTGAACCTCTCTGGTCAGAGTATTCCATAAATGGGCTGCCTCCATAGAGAAGGCCCTCCTCTGGGTAACCACCCTCCTGATTGCCTTTAATATTGCATATTGGAGCTGTAGTTTGCACAGTATTAAATATATTATTGCAGGTGGGTGGTAGGTGGACTGAGACAATCATTTGGTGGGATCCTGCAGTGTAGTACACCGTTAATATTCTTGGTTATAGGTGAGACTTTTTTTTGGATTTCCAACCTGAAGTCCTCCCTACAGGCACCCTGAGGTTGAGGCAAAACTGAAATGTAGCTAAGCAGGGATCTTCTGCATATTTTGATGGGCAAAAGCCTTCTCAGGATTCTTCACCCATGTAAGCTAGGGAATGCTGGGGCTTGTCATATTTCTGTATAAGTTTACTGCAGTGCATTTTATGTGGGGCTGCTCTTGAAGATTGTTCAGAAGCAGTAGCTGTTACCTGCAGCGGCCAGGTTAGTAACAGCAACCAGAGAATCCAAACACATAAGCCCAACTCTGGCCCTTTGCATCAGCCACCTGCATGCTTCCATATTCAAGTCAAGTTTCTAGTTTTAACTTAATAAAGCTCTATGTGGCTTAGGATCACAATACATACTGGAATGCCTCTTCCACCCACAGTCTGTTCAGATACTATGACCAAGAAGTGGGATCTGCCTTGACAGCAAGGGAGGCTGGGCTGGTGGCAACAGCCAGGCCTTTTCAGTGGAGGTCTCACAGTTACAGTCACACTTCCCAACTGGTGCCGGATTAATGTCCCTTGGATGCCTGCATAAGACTGTGCTCTACCACAGGGCAGTTTATTCCTTTAATAATATATTTGGCTTACATTAGCTGCTAAACAGGTCTTGTGATTTCATTTATATAGGCTATTTTGTCTTTTTTTACATTTGGTGTGAATTTGGCTTTTAAATTTTGTATGGTAAATTTTATGATGTTTTTATTGTTGCCAGTATTGCACAGTCAGACTTTCTCCCAGCTCCAATCCTCTGTTCAATACGTAAGCAATGCTCATATGAAAAATCTGATAATATGTCCAAGGTTGCAATCTTGTGCGTACTTATTTGGAAATAAATGCCACTAACAAATCTTCTGTTTGTGTAAACCATGAGTAGAGCTGTGCTATATGTTGAATTTCATGGCTAAGGAGTAACTACTAAAGGTTGGTACTGCAGTCTGGTGCTCTTTACTAAAATATTTAAATACAGTCTTGCCAGTTACATGAAAAACATTGCTTAATCCAGTGTGGTGTAGTGGTTAAGAGCATGGGACTGGGACTCAGACGATCTGGGTTCTAGCCCCTTCTCAGCCATGGATCCAACTGGGTGACTTTGGGCCAGTCACAGACTCTCAGCCCAACCTACCTCACAGGTTGTTGTTGTGGGGATAAGATGGAGGAGAAGAGATGATGTAAGCTGCCTTGTGCCCTTTGTAGGAAAAAGGCAGGATATAAATCGAAAAATAAATACATACATCCTACAGGGGGGGAAAATCTGGTTGCAAGCACAGATTTCAGTTTTCTGAAAACCATTTCTCTCTCTCAGTTTTTTACAACCATTTTCTTCCTTTCATGCTTGTTAAAAATGCTACAAAGGGTTAAAGGCAAGACCTTGTGTAATATCAGAAATAAGATGAATTGGTGGAAAAAACTTCTAGGAGAAAAGACATCAGTGTCTTTCACAGTAGGTTGCTCCTGTCCTTGATTAACAGTAATAAATTATGTAAAATACTTAATATTGCAGAATAAATTATGCAAAATGAGTAAGATTATGGGCATTTGTTTGATGTGCATGATTTATATTGGCCTTTCTTGACTCTGAATTTTGGTTTCCTATTAGCACAAGAAGTTTTCACATGGTATATGTAGCCGAAACATTTTGTGAACAGAATGGAAAATACATTCCTGTACATTAAACTTGCATTTTGAAAGAATTAATCAGTAAGGCTTAACTACTCCATATGCTACAAAGTCTTTTAAATCAAGAGAGTTTTTTTATTCTTTGAATCAATACAGCTAAGATTTTTTATCCTCTCACTACATGACTACAAAATTGTGTGGAAATATTTGTTCCTTGTGGTAGAAACAGTTGAAGACAATAATCCTATAACATTCAAACACTAGATGGCAGCCCAAATATCCAACATTTAGGAATAAAAAGTACTAACCAGAAAATAACATTATTTGTTATGCATGCATCTCATGACTAGTATCACTCTATACTTTCACCATAATTTTAAATATACTTTCAGCTGTTGCCTCATCACTTTGGCCATGTTAATCACAGAAACTTCATGGCTTGGTATGTATAGATTCGTGACCATTTACCCATGCAAAACTTGTCAGTTTGTCATGTTTTTCTATCTTCCTCCAGATATGTATAAGACCGATGGCCTTTTCCAGCTCTAAGGACCTTGTATTAATTTGGGATGGCAATACTGCTCTGTAAAGCTTACAAGTCTGATACTAGTTCAGTTTTCCTCATATGGCAAAGCATGATAAACTGAGCTGGTCGATAAATAAGGAACTCATGTACCTTTCAAATGCCCTTCCATGAACATTGGCTTAATGATGAAATGAAACTTTAACCAAGTATGGCTGTGATACAACTGGGAGCACATCATTAAGCCAGTGTTAGGAGCCTGTCCTAAACCAAGTAGCTGGGCCACAGTGCTGAGAGAGAAGTTATGGAACCTTGTACAAGTGTTAATGACATTTGAAAAAAAGAAGAAAAGAAAGGCTTACAGGCAGATTAAGGCTAGAATGCTTGTGAGATCAAGCAGCTGATTTTGGTAATGGAGGACTTCTGTTTTCCCAGCATAGAATGGTGTCATACATGTAGTAGCTGATCCAGCTGAGTCAGTATGTCTCATTCCTAGTTCAAACTCTGGCTTAACTTCCAGTATTATGCAACAGGAATAAGCTAAACTTTTACAACTACTAATAGGGCTGTTCCTCTCATACGACAGGGTAAATTCTCTGCTTCAGGTGACAGAGCAGGAAGAGCAGCAAATATGTGCATTTTCTCCTCCACCCACCAGCTAAGATGATCTGCCACATATGCCATTAGCTCACCCAGACTTTTGCCACCGCCACATTTCTCACTGCTTCCCTATCCCGCTGTCATCACTGCCTGTTCTGTGGATTCTTTCAGAGTGAATGATGGGCAGAAAAACTTTGAAGAGGGATCCTCTCTTAGAACAAGGGAAGGGTGCCCTGGAGATCAGCTGTAGACCAGCTTTTCTGGCTGATGCAGCTCTTCACCTAACTGCTGATCATTCTGAGAGGGCCATGGTAAAAAATAGTTGAGAAGGTGGGTGGACATGGGCAGAAGAAAGTAAAAACAGACACGTGGGGTGGGGGTGGGGGGAGATTAATGTGACAGAGGGCAGGAGAAAAAGGAGGGAAGGAGATAAATGCAGCACAGGATAGAGGGAGTGGGGGTACATAGGTGGCAGTAAAGAGCAGCGGTGAGTATATGGGGTGTACTTACTTATCTCAGATGCTGTTAATCAGCTTACTAATGCCTTGACATTTGTATTACATCTTCCAGAGGGGATATCCATGTTGGTCTGCTGCAGCAAAAACAACAAATTTATTATAGCATAAATGTTTGTGGACATGGTCCATTTTATCATATACGTGAAGTGTTATTCTCAGCTGGCAATTAATATGCATATCATTGGGGAAAGCACATAGAAAACAGTGAGAAACCTAAATGCAGAAAGTTCAAACAGTGACAATTATCTTAATATATGCCATTTATGAAAGAATTGTTGGGTGTAACCTACACATTCTTGTTTTGGTGCACTGCTTAATACATTTACCATTTTAAACCAACTTTTGTTCAAACCATAGGGGAAAATATTTGAATCTCTTGATGAATTATACTTCAGTAGGTTCATATGGAAATCTGCCTTTGAAATTCCACAGATTTTGACTTTTCCTGTGAAAACAAGTAGGTGTAAATAAAAGATCTTTTTTAAAGGCAGATTCCAGTGAAATCTTAAATAAGTTTAATCAAAAGCAAGAACTTTTGAATTAAATAGGGTTTATTCCAGGTAAGTGTGTACATGATGCACTTAGTGAGTAGATTCACACAACACGAGAATCCATATTTCAGTCTTTACTATGGTGCGTCTATTGTGCCATCTGGGCCTAGTTCCTGAATTTCTACATGGTA